AACTCTTAGTTGAAAGAAAATATAAATCAAAAATATAAAGAACATTATTATTTTGTTTATTATCTTATAAATAAATAAATAGTAAAATAAATAAATAAAATAAAATGTCTTTTTTGAGGGAGGTGTTCTGAGAACAGATGGAAATTTTTATTCCCCCTCGGGGTGACCCCTACACTCTAAAACTTTGCTTCAGTTAATTTTAGCAGCATGAATGTTTGCACAGGTAACGTCCACATGTGGATTTATGGTTTCCAATAGTTTTAACCTTATTTATTATATTTTTAAATTGGTTATATACTGGGTAATTTAAAAATAAGTTTTGGCTGTTTGTACAAAAACAGCAGTCTGATGTGTTTGTTCTGTAGGTTCTGTTTGCAGATGGCTCAGTGAGTTTCAGCCAAGATTCTGGTCCAGTTTGGGTGCCTGACGCTGAAGCTGAAAACAACAAAGGTTTGAGCCCAGCACCATCAAACCCTCACTTTGAACGGTATGCTGCACCTGCATCGCTTCACTTATCTGCGCAGGTCGGAGCTCAGAGAAGGAGGCGGGACGCTGGCAGACTACAAGTCCATCAGGAGATCGCATTTGCACGATCGGGTCCACACACCAACGCCTCCCCACCACCCCTCTATTGTCCTTTAAGGCCACGGACCCCGTCACCCATCAGGCAAGAGCTGCACCATAAACGTCAGCATCTGAAATTATGACCTCGTGTTCTCACGTGCTGTTTCATCAGGTCATGCTGACCCGGGAGGATCTGGTGGTTTTAGTCCAGAACCCAGACGGATCTCTTGTTGTGGAGCACGCAGACGGAACCAGGATCACCAGTTTCCTTCAAGACAGGACTTTTACCGGTACGTCACATCATCTGTACACCACAGATACCTAACTAACTAACTAACTAACCAAATAACCAACTAAACAACCAACCAACCCACCGTAAAAGTAGTATTGAACACGTCACCATTTTTCTCAGTAAATATATTACTAGAGGTGCTAATGACATGAAATTTTCACC